CTGGTCTAGTGGAATCCGGAGTTCCTTGAGTGCTGCTTCAAACTGTGGCGCGTCGTCCGAGTAAGCGTTGGTGACCTTTCTCTTACCGATATAGTGCTTCATCGCCTGCACCACTTCGTCACTATTGCTGGCTTTCAAAGGATAACCCCATATCACACCAGTGAACCGATCTCGAATCACCAATACGTCCTTATCCGGCATGATCCCATCTCTCGCCATCTTCTGAGTGTTCATGAGATCGAAAGTGATAAGGTCGCCGAATGCCTTCAATTTCCGTTTGAAAGCCCCCTTGCTAGTCTTGTAGTGCTTCATCTTTGCTCTCACACATGACTTGCAGTATGGGTTCTTGTATCGGTGCGTCATCAAGTGCAATATGGATTTCGCCTCGTTCTTCAGCACTCCTGGTTTTGATAGTCTGGCTTCCCCGTCGACCACATCGACTTCCAATAACCCCTCTTCATCTTCACCAATGTCACTCTCCTCTCGTTCAGAATCCGCATCACCTCCATGTTCGTCGTCTTCGGCTTCTTCAGGTTGGCCATCGAGATCACGATCGATTCTCGGGTCTTCCCCGTCATATCCCTCTTCAGGAGAATATCCGTCATCGCCGTGTTCCTCTGGTTCTCCTTCGTCGCCTACAACAGCTGGATTGATATCGGATTCACCATCCTGATCTCTCTGGTTACCTTTCTTCTTTCTCCTTCGTCTCCGTGGCCTCTTGGGCGGAGATTCCTTTTGCTGTGTCTCCTGACCTGCTGTGGCCTCGTCTTCATGCCCCACGTCTGACAGTATGCGATGAAGTATCGTAGCCAAGCCGTCTGGTCTTGGTAAACATCTCCCGTCGTCATCATTCACCTTGATGTAGGGTATGTTGTCATGCACCGATAACAGAATCTTGTTCGCGTTCTGGTCTATGAGGTATGGCAATTGATTTGCCGGCCATATGAATGAATACCCTTGTTCCATGCACCGCTTCCCGATGGAAAAGACTGATGGTGTGCTCTCCAATACGTGTGCCTCGGACATCATGGGTAGTTCGTCCACGTTGATGTCCACCATCTCTGATGTACTAGTTACACCATTCGCTGTCATGAAGCTCACGGATTTGGGTCCTTCCTTGGTGGTAAGGCCCATGGCATTGACTTTCTCTCTTGATATCAAGTCGTGTCCACATCCCGTGTCCATGATGAAGCGTATCGGTGGTCCATCATACCTCTCCACAGCCATGAACATCGTGTCCCCTGGTATCGTGTGGTTGACAGGATCCTTCCTTACTACCTCGCTGGTGTTGAAGTCTGACAGGTCGACGTTCACCTCGATTCCTTCATCTTGAGTGATTTGTATCCATGCCTTGGCAATGTGTTCAGCAGAAAATAACTCCATCATCTTACCTTTGGCATGTGCTACTCGTGCAGCTATATTGTTCACTCTGAGGGCTCTCAACGATGAAATGAGCTCGGTATCCACCTTCTGTACCTCACTCTTCTTCTTCCTGAGGGGACGGGTGTTTAGCTCGTTACCAGGATCGCAGGGGAACGTGGTCACACTCGCCTGGTCATCGAATCTGACTTTAAAGCGAAGCGCCAACCCACCTCGTCGTACGTTGGGAAGTGCTGGTTGCATGCCCTCATCATCACTCTCGATGTCCCCGCAAAGCATGAAGGCTGGCGCAGCCGGTTTGGGCTTGGCTTTGCCTTTAGCCTCTTGTTTTGCAGCAGGAGCAGCTTGGTGCTGACGTCGACATTTGTCCCCGAACTTGCACGATCCCTTCTGCCAATTCCAACAGACCTGATCCTTCATTGGCTTAGGGCTAGTGCTCCTACCACCAGGACTCTTTGATCTGTCACCCTTGAGGTTGTCTGGTTTCTTAGCAGAACTTTTGTGCTTCTCCTGGTGACTAAACTTGCATTTGTCTCCTTTAGAACATCCGTTTTTCCCATGGAAGTGGAAAGCGCATCCTATCTTGGACGTGTCTGCCGGAGTCGCTGACCTGCCACGATCCCCCTTTGGGCTCTTCGTGGTTGGCCTTCCACGATCCTGCTTCTTGTCCTTCTTTTGGTGATCCTTCGGATTATTCTGAGGAAGTACTGGAGCGGCGTCAAGCTTCGGTGGATCGGCCTTGGTATTCTTGGGCTTCGCTTTAGGGTCCTTCTTCTCCGCTGGTGTAGCCTTCACGAGGTTCCCAAAAGCCTTTTCCCTTTCTTTCTTGTTTGTGGTCTCGATTGATTTCCGTATCCACTTCGCCATGATCTCTCGTAACTTCTGGTAGGTCTTATCCGGATCCTTGTCCAACATGTTGTCGTACACGGACAAGTCTAGCGCCATGACTTTGGAATCCTTAATTTTATCCCAAAGCAGGTTGCGGAGTGCTTTGTCAGGAAGCATGTCATCCGCATCCATACCTGATATGATCTCATCCCACTGTCCAAGGAATCTGGATAGTTGATTATCCCCAGGGAATTTTAGATCGAATAAGTGCTTGGATGCATACATCACATCAACGTTGTCGGCACTCCGGAAGCTGTCGACGATCAACGCTAACATTTCTCGTCCTTTGACCATTCCAGGGGTTGTGCCTCTCGCACGTCTCTGCATCATCTGCCTCACCTTCAGTTGTACGTCATGAGATCTCTCTCCTGCTGCGTGGATGATCGTATGTAGGGTGATACCTAGCTTAGCGTCTATGCTAGCGAATCTTGCTTCACCTGATGTCTCGAGCAGAAATGGGTCATATGGTGATCTGAAGGCATCCGAGAGCCACTGGATCCAATCTTCCTGTCTTTCGTCGCCCGATGCCGTCACGACTGCCGCTACAACCTGGGATTTCCAAACCTCCAAGTCGTGTATCTTGGGCCATGCAGGGATGTTGATCTTCTCGTGTTCCTTCCGAGATATCTTGGAGCCACCCGAGCTAGAGGATGAAGCGGCACCATGTTCGGTTGCGGCTACATTCTCTGCATTCAAGCGCTCTTCTTCGTACCTCCTCCGGTACTTGTTCCTCTCATCTCTGAGTCGTGCTGCATGCGCTTCGTATTCCATCATATCCTGTTGGTTCTGCATCATACCTTCGTAGTACTCCATTGCCTCCTTCTCCTCGGACCTTAATGACTTCTCGGTACGTCCAAGTTCCGCTCTAAGCTTGGTCATCACCTCATTCTCCACATTGGGTCCTGATCCCATGTCTGGTGGTTTCAACGTCAGTGCGACCTTCAATTGTGCTTCACTTGCGCTTGATTCGATCAGTTCTTCCTGAAGACGATTCAGCATCCTCTCTTTGCGTAGAATGTCTTCTTCCAGCATGTTCATCTTGACCTCAGCTTTCTTGAGTTCGGCGTTGGATGGTTGAGACAGTCGATCGGATCCTTGAATCCTCGCCTGTGCCAACTCCTCGTTCGCCCTCTTCAATTGCTCCCTGATGGTCATGATGAAGTTGTCCTGATTACAAGATTGGTTGCTGAGCTCCTCATTCTCTTCTGATAACCATTTGATCTTGCTTGTATACATTGCTTCCTTCATCTTCATCTCCTCAGCATATTCGTGTTTGTTCCTGGCACTCTGCCTTTGTAGTCCAACTAACTCCTGTCTATACAGATCCCTAATGTTCTCAGCATCTGAGACTGCAGTCATGACCTCGGTTATGGCTCGATCTCTTTGCGCCGATATAGCCTGGATCTCTTCCGTGCCGATGCTCACAACTTGGCTAACCATCTCTGTGCTGTTGCGATCAGCGTACTCCCCTAACTGGGTGAGACGATCCCGCATTGCCACACGATCAGTGTCAATCTGGTATTGCAAATCGTGTGCTGCCGAGAGTAAACAGTCTCTGGATTCTGTAAGCTGGGAGATTCTTCGTTGATTTCCATATCCTTCGACATAACATTCTTCGAGGTGTGCCATCACTACTTCGTGGACTTCGGTCTCGTGTTGTATAATCTGGTTCTGTCTCTGCTCACATTCGACCATCCATGCGTTCTGGTGGTTCAACATATGCACTTCGGCAAGTAGTTGCGCACACCTCGCATTCAGGTCTCCATCGGCCCGTGCTAGTTGTAGGCTGTCAATGCTTACCCTTGCTCCGTCTCCAGCTTCGCTGTCCGACGGTACTGGTACAGTTGACCCATCCTCCAATGCTAGCACTCTCACAGCTCCGGTGTCAGTCCTCCTCCTCGTCTCCCTAGGGCTACGGCCTGATCTTGGTGTCCCCCCCGGTGGTGTCGATTGCGCTGACGGGGAACGACTTCGCGCTCTACCTGTCGCACCTTCTCTCACCACTGTCAGAGTCTCCGCTTCGATCGTACCTGGACTAGAGTTGTGGGATGCACTCATCCGATCTGCGGCCGCAGCAGCTGCTCCAAAGGATGCAGTGCTGGCGTCGGATTGTTCCATCTTCAGTGACTGAGGGTAACTGATCTATCCGATGCGTGTGCGTTTAGATGGTGTTGTGTAAGGCCGCAGCACGTACCCAGCTCAAAGGAGTCTGGATACGGCTGATAACCTGCGAACGGATGAAAAGGCGTGCCCAGGCCCCGTTCTAGCCCTTAGTTCAACATGAAGCTCGCGCGCTAAAGCTCCTTTTTACCTGGTTGGGCACTTGAGCCAAAAGTATATGGCAAGTACCTATATAGCAACTATACTGGGACCTCATCCCTATTGACAATGTCCTTTTTGAACCAATCAACAATGATCTTGGTTGAGGAACAGCCCACTTTGCGTGTGACTTCTGGGGTTACTAGATTGTAGTCATCTGAAAAAAAACAGAAGTGAGAGTGACTGAACATTTAGCAGGAATTTACCGTCCACAGGAAGGCTTTCTATTTGTGTGCATGTGATTGAAGTCCGGGGTTACCTTGCAACAACCAAACTACTAATCAAACAATAACAACCATTGTGTAATGCTGCTATTATATTGTATACCTAATACTTAAACTAATACATGCATGCATATCGAACCCACACCATTTCAGATCAGCAACTATCAAATCGCAGGGCGATCGGCATGTTTGTCACTCCGCACAAGAGGGGTAGCAATCGCTGGGGTCTCTTTATCTATGGAAAAAGATCTGGCCGCCCTGATGGCTCAAACCACTTCACCAAAATGGTCTGCAAGGCAGCGGCTGCTTGGCGGAGGTCCAAGAGGTCAAACTGAGGGCATTCCTTGGAGAAAAATAGCAGTAATGTGGCAATCATGCCTTTCGTGCCTTGCGTATCCCACACTGTTTGTGGGACGATGTTGAAAGCGCCTATGGCGCTTCTTATAAAGAGCCAGCACTCTAGGCTATACCAAAACCAACAAAATCATCTGACAGCGTAGTTTTGGAAGATGCGGACTGATTTGGCAGAACATTGGTTTGGCCCAAAACCCCAAAGGTCTCAAAGGTTCAGGACCTGTGTCCCCATCTGAATCAAACCCCTACCAACTGGACTTGCAGAATCAGAATTGATGGTCCAACTGGACTTCGCAGTTCTCAACAGAAACCTCCAACCGGACTCTCCACAGAACCCAAGGACCGTCCAGCTCTCGTTCTGAACGGAGCTCTGCACACATCTTGGTTTGGACACAATTAATACGCGAGCTTGCTAAGCAAGCTATATAAAGAACAAACATAGTATATATATAAAGAACAAATATAGTTCTGTATTGGTCACATCCAAATTGGTTGATCCGTGACCTGATGCTGGCACTTGAGTGGCAAGTCAACAAGCAAATCTATCGTTACTCTACTTGTGTTGAAGGGTCGAACCGCTACGGATGGGGTTTGCTGGCAAGTGTCAAAGGCTGTCTCGGAGGCCTGTGACTCCGTTCTCCTGCAGCTTGACCCAAGCAGTAGTGAAATCCTTGAAGTAGGCATCCTGCCACACGTGTCACAAAGTGTCCAGTTGTAAAGGGGTATACATTAGGAGTCTAGCGTTCTGAGGCCTTCTGCCTGTCCTGATCCTTAGCATAGGTCTCCACGTGCTTCTTGAAGGCAGAGTCTTTCAGCAGTGCCAAGTCCTCGGCAGTGGCATGCACAGCAAGTGCAAGAAATGCTCACCCTGCTAGAGCGCCGACACGCCACAAAATGAACTTGCAAAACAACGCCAAAACTAGTTGCACAAAAGGGTCGGAAATCAACATGATTGTGCCGCTGCCGCTCTTGAATTGAGGATTGCCCTTCTCGGTCTTGTCCTCGCTGTATTCCTTCTCCAGCATCTCCTACGACACTCACGAGTAGACTTGGAGAAGTGCCCGGATATTATCTATAGATATAACATGATATAACTACCTCTGGCATCCTCTCACAAAATTTATCCTACAATTAGCAGACAAACAACCAAACAATCCCAGCTTGTACGTGTATCTTTGAGCTCCTTGAAGTATGTGTTGTCGAACTTCAGGGGCTCCTCCGTCCATGCCCCATCAAAGCCAGAACGATCAAGGTGGCACTTGCCTACGGTGTGCGCACCAGACAGGGCGACAATGTCCTTGTCATCAAAGCCCTTGGGGTGGAAGATCTCTCGAAGATGATCGATTTCCTTGTCACCATCTGGCAATCGTCCGACCTGCGACTCAACCGAGTCACTTGAGCTTTCAGCATCCTTGCGGCCAAAGCGAGTCTTGATGTCAGGGCCACCCATCTCCTTGATGGCCACGTTGGCCGCCAGGGTCCAAAGATCTGCATGCCCGATGACACTGGGGACGTACTTCTCGGTGATGGGCTTCAAAAGGCCCAAAGCAACATCAGGCAGCCCAGCGTTTGCTCCAAAGGTGCCTTCACCGGCATCGGTGAATCGCATGGCCGCATTTGGGCAACCACCCTTGAGCTTGCCATCGGAGAAAACACCGGCATCATGCCAAGACAAACGGATCAAAATTGGTCCACATTGCTTGGTCTTCACAAGCTCTTGCAAGTCCTTCACCAAGGAATCATAGCTCTCGCCACCACGGGCGGCCATGGACACAACACCCCGCTGGCGCGACTGCTTCGCTGAGCGTCGACCAAAGGCCGCGCTTGCCACCAAGCCAGCTCCCAC